CAGATTGCAAATTCCCTCCCGTTCGTATCAACTCCGATAATTAAGTTAACGACTACTTACCGATTTTATTTATCGAAAATAAATATATACTATAGTGCACTTCAGTACTTCAGTAAATTAAAGATAAAATAATTTCAGAAAAAAAACACATATCAGTTATGAAATGTTTATTTATTTAATTTTAAAATGGTTTTCCACTACCTTAACAAATTCAATGTTTGGAAATTCGTGTGCGTCTAGCTTTTTGATGCAATCATCTAGAAAAACTTTATTAGTTTCAGTTTGTCTTGTTAACAATTTTTTAAAATTAGATGTAACACTTCGTATTTTAACATAAATTTCACATTGAAAATTATTGTGGTGTCAATAATATATGAATAATATTAAGATTAATGTGTGATGTAAGGCTGCATTATTTAAACAACTCTTTATGACATTATAGTAGCAATTAGCACTCAAGGTCATCCGCAGCCGTTTGGAGGCAATTGATGTATAATTAGGAGGGAATTCGACATATCGAAAATTTTAACCCTAATTAAAAACAGGTATATGGGAGGGAACTAGGCATTATCCGCCTCACCACCCTACATTATTTGCTATTTTATGATCTTAGATTTGACCCCTTCCCCCGATTATTATTGATTAAGCTACTAACCCAGTAGGCAAGTAGGTGTCAGCTTGCAAATTTAAATAATTAATTTAGATGTACCAATTTTATACTAGTGATATAAATAAGAATTTATGGATTTTCGTTAATCCAAAATAGTTTTCACTATTTACCCCTAGAATTCTCTTGACGATATTCTGTTACCCATGTACCTTTAACTTCATGTGGATCAGCATTTAGAATAGAAAAGGAAAGAATTACAATTTCTTCCACAGTGCATCTCTTAATAATTGTAGTTTAAGCAGTTACCTGTTTTCCATGTAAAATTTTTAAAATAACCTCATGAAAATATAACTGCAAATGCTCCATTTTCCATAACAGTACGTACGCTTTTGTAATGCAGCACAATCTAATAATAACATGTCATCTGTTGAGCAAAGAACACTCTGAAATACAACAGCTTTTTATGTTGAATTTTGTCCATTTTTTTCATAATCTTTACTACCTAATAAAATTTAGAATAATGAAAGGGTTTTCTGCCTCTATTTCTTATAAATGGAAATTGCATTAAATTTTATTTTTCGAAGGTGCTAATACAATGAAAGATTATCATCTAACACAGTTGATACGGAATGCAGCTACTAACGTACTTCACAACATCACCGTTAGCGCTGGTTTAACTACGAATCTTCACCAGTTAACAGCGCATAGTCTCAGTCGGTTATTTTCACATTCCTTGCAAAATTCAACCCATGAATGGTGCTCTTTAACAATGATTAAAAGTATTTCTCAGTCACCTCAGCTTCAGCAAGCAATTAGTACTAAGCCTTGGATTGAGATGCTGTTGAATAATATCTCCATCTCAAATACCTTCAGAGGAAATGAATTGAATTTACCGAAGCAGGTATGAAAATTGCAATTTTTAAAAATACAACGTTTGGCTGCCTTTGTAGTAGTATTTATTTGTATTTCTTGTCTATTATTTAATTTTTATTAGACTATGGGAACATAAACTGTTCTTATTTATTGCATGAATTTTATAGACGTTAAATGATATTCTTTACATGATTTTGTCAGAAATGTTCCTTCATTTCTGTTACACTCCTCATATCAAAAATTTGACTAGGAACTCCATGTTTTTTTTAGATACATTCCGTTCGACTTTTGAAAACGGTACTGCAATCGTGGGACCTAGATCACCCAGAAATATTGCCTACTGTTGAAAAGTTGTTGAATATACTTGGAAAAACAATGTTAACTTGCTGTTACGATTATGGAAACAAGCCATTATCCGACACAAAAAATCACGTTCTACTCACACAATCTCATAGTAGTACACTTTCTCAAGAAATAATTAGTCTGATGCGTTATTTACATACCATCGTTGGCTGGAATCAAGTTATAAATGCAACAGTTGGTAACAAACTGAAGTACGCTGTACAAATACTAAGGGAGAATACGTCTTCATGCACCGGTGAAACATTATCAGTTGAACATCAAACTATGACAACAGCATGTTTAAATGTTATTGGAGCATATGACCCCAGGCCCAGAATAGGTAAAATTATAAAGCAAATACTGGAAATTTTAATTGTTTATAATTTATTATTAGTTGAATAACATTTAAAGGCGAAAGAATGAGAATAAGAACGTAAAATCCCTAATTTAATCAGGTTAGGTGCATTTATGATGACTAAAGCTGGATTGGTCGTTACAGAATCAAATTGCGTTGTCGGTAATTCGTTGATTCAAACTATGACTTAACATCTGCCACTTTCAGCGTTTCATTTCATTGCTACGTTCGATGTTCACTGGCAGTTTATTCAAAACTACGTTATATCAAATTCTGAATGGTTGAAAGTGTGGATGTAAAATATTGTTCAATGTGTGCTTTACATTTACATTTAGGTCCTTTTTATAGTTATTTTTTTTTAAAAATACTTTCGCTAATGAACTAATCCATTTATATATTTTATCATTGTTTTAATTCATTTTGTAATGTATGTTAAAGGAGCTCTTGCTGAATATGATGGTAATGTTGGAACAATCACTAGAGTGACACAGAAAGGGAAATTGGGCATCCAGCTACACAATTCTGGCGATCTTAAAAAAATTGCAATTTCCGGTGTGAAATTAATTGCAGATAACGAATTTGGTTTAGATAAAATGCCATTTAATGAAAATATGACTAAAATTTGGGCAACATTGATGGTGAACAAGCAGATTAGTGGCTATGAAAGAAAAATTATTCCAGGTAAGATATTATTTAAGATAACGTCATTTTGATATGCATCTGTTTGTAGAATGTGATGAAACTAAATGACCGTTTACTAATTTTAAATATTTACTTCATCAATTTTATAAGTGATTAAATAATATTAATAGAAATCTTCTGTGTGCTCTCAATCATTTAACACTAGTGATGCTAGTACTACAATCTAAACCCGAAAAATCCGTTCAAATAGTCTGGTACATGATTTTCTAACAAATTAACATAGTACATTTGCTTATATAAAATATATGTAGCATGTACCTAAATCAATAGCATGACAACTATCGTATATGAATATCATCATCATCATCCTTATGTCGTCAGTCTGCTTGGGTACACTACATCGCTGCTTATCCTGAGCCAATCTTCGCATCTGAAAACTAGAATATCCCACATTTCTAATTAAAATATTCCCTTCTTTACTTCTGTTTCTGTTACTAATGTGTTACTATGTAGCCCTTCACGTCTCAGAAGGTGTCCTATTATACTACTTTTAGTTTCTACCCATTCATACCTCTGTTTTCTGTACTTGCTAAGTATGTGTTTGGAATAAATGCATTTGGAATACATATTTACATACTCTTTTGCTATTCAATACTAACCGATTGAACAATTTTCTACTTTCATATCTCTTCAAGCCCTACTTCTATGAATTTATATAATTTAGCAACTGCTGATTATGCCACCCGTTTAAATAGTCTAGTCGATCTTTCGGGAACTATTCTCGAGTTGATAATAGCAAATAAAAATTATTTGTCTTATTATTACTGAGTTGAAAAAACCTCAAACCAGAGGCGAAACGGCGGTGTATGTAATACATGGGTATTGTTTAGGAATAGGATATATGCACATATATGATATGATTTTATTTACGTAACACATCCGTACTTATACATAAAAAGTACAATTTTAGGATTCTCGCAAAGTTTCACCATTAAATGAACCAAGCATTATTATCAGGATTATATTGCGTTTCCTTTGCTTAGCTGCAATCATTTTGAAATTCCCATCAAATGGCATCTTCAATACGTATTTCAGCTACTGACCAATATAAGGAACGCTTTGAATATGTAAACTGCTGAGTGTGGCGAAAAGGTTACAGTTAAGCAAGGGATATGAAAATCTCACGTAGTAAAGATACTAAAAGTTCAAAAATAATAAATCTATTGTTTTATGATGTTGTTTTATTGAAGCAGTTAAATCATTGAATTAAGTTTGGTTGAAATATTTTGTTTGTATAGTGACAAATCTGAATAATTTTGTTGTAGGCCAAGTTCTGCTACCATACCTACGAAGTCAACAGACAATGTTATACTCTCTTTGTGTCACAAAGTTACTTCACAGTAATCAAAATAAGTTGCGAAAAGTTCTTAAGTGTCACGTCAGTTCATTGGATATTTGTCAAGATCAGACGTCTCCTGACGACCAACAGCAACAATCAGCTCTATTAATACAAAAGATTCTCTCTAAAGCAGTACAGCCAAGCCCTTTGAAGCCGTGCTTCACCTTAGAAGACATGCATCTCGCCGCATTGAATCTCAGCCAATACCTAGCTGCGGAGTGTAATCAAGAGAAAAATCTTATGACTAGTTCCGATAAAATTGTCGCAAAATCTGCAAAGACAGAGGTTAACAGCGAATTAGCAACTCCTAGTAGCGAATGTTCGTCCAAATCTATTTTAGTAGAAAAAAAGAAAAAGAAACGCGAAGAAAACTCCAAGGAAGTGAATATAGATTCCCTTGTTATTCAAATAATGGAGATGGGTTTTACTAGAAAAAGCATTGAGAATGCTATTAAGTCATTAGGTAAATATTGTCTGAATTTTAAAATATTAACGACATCATGAGTAATTAACAGTAGTTTTAACGTCTAATCAGTTAAGCTGATTATTTTCTTATTCTACATTTTCAGGGAATATTTATGTACTAATTGTAAGGGTATTTATTAATGGTATATTTATTTGTTATTAGCTATTATTAATTGCATAGTTTGAAAATTATTTCATTAATGTTCAAATAAATAATGGGTGGGAAAGCATAAAAAATTCTTAATACTTGATTTTAGAAGAGAAATATTTTTGCATATTTGAATAGAACATTACTCGAAATGTTTCGACATATGATGGACAATGTTACATGAAGAGAGTTCGATATTCTACAGTCGTTTCGCCAGCCGCTATTGTTGTGCATCCTCAGACGGAACTTTTTTTTTTACACCCGTGCTACATTTTCTGAGGATGGCAACCATAGTAGCCGACGAAACATCGGATAAAAATTCCATCGGTGGATTCACTAATCTTGCATCAAGGCCATCAAGTGCGAGTATCAAGCCCTCTTCATATGATGCATTTATCTGAAATAGCGTCTACAACTTAGATAATTCTGGTCTTACCTATTAACCTGTTGGTATAAATATTGTAGGTATAATTCCAGAATCACTCTTAACACCAGAGTCAGTTGTGTCTTATCTTCTCGAACGACCTGAGGTTATGATGGAAAATGACGAAGTTAGCGACGAATATTCCAGCGATACAGATTCAGAATTTGACAATAACGTTATAACATCTCATTCTCCTGCAGGCGATTACGTAAGTAGAATTGTTAAATTTATGGACCAAATATATTTTGTAACTTTTAAATGTCCTAGATAATTAAATGACAAGCGTCATTGCAGTTTTATTAATATTAATTCCATATTATTTTTTCTTGAAGAATGCCACAGAAGTGATTGTGAATCCCATCAACTATATGCAGAGATCCGATTTCTTATCGAATGATGAGTATGCTATGTATGTAAGAGATAATGTTGAAGTGGGAATGTTGGTTCGTTGTTGTAAAAGCTATGAAGAAGTACACGTTGGCGACATTGGAAAAATTATTAAAATCGATAGAGAGGGACTACATGATCTAAATTTGCAGGTAAACAAATAGGATATTGTTTATTTGTCGATAACCGTCAATCCGCTAATGTGAAATCTTTTCTAATTCTAATGTTTATTGCAATTTTGTTGTTGTTATTGCTAAAAGAAATCAGAATCTACACAGATAGACTGTAACCGGTGTCTGTTATCGCAGAGCCGGGCAAACTTTAACTTCGCAGGAGCCGCTACATGAGGTTAGTTTGAGTCACTCCATACCCTTCAATGAGTACGAGAGAGTAAGCAGTAATGAATAATTTTGTTTTGTCTTTTTCTTCTCCCTTCCACTCTCATATCAAGCTCCTTCATCCCGTAGACGAGCGAAGCCACTCTCGCAACTTAAATAATACCTACGAAAATTTTCGTTACTACGTTCGCAAAACTATTGGGTTTGGCTATGGAAGAGGGGACTCACCTACGAAATGGAAGGGATAAGAAAAGGAAAGAATCATCTCACTCGCACTCGCAGGATCAATGAGGATCTACTTAGTTAACCTTGAGGGCACTCGGGATGCAAAAGAGCCGAGTTTGCCCGGCTCTGTGTTATCGAACGGTTAAAGTAAATAAACAAAACATCACTCCACATAATGTTAAGACGTTCATTAGTTATTACGACATTGTTAAATTAGGGATCGTCCATAAAATACATAACTCAGAATTTTACTTTTTTCCGTTCTCCTGCGCGTTAAGTCACACTTTGAGTGACCCCCCTAACAAGTATTATTTCACAAAGGTAATCCACGATTTTTTGTACACTATTTAAATTACGCCTTAAAATGTCAGTACTCAATAAAAAAAAATCTAAATTACGTAAAGGATAGTAGGTAAATGAATATCATCTGGATATGCAATTGTAATTGTAATTTTATAAAGAAAAATTTTCACACCATCATTGAGGCATTGCCAAGGCAATTTACATTTTTAACACTAGTAAACACACAACATACGTACACTACAAACATTGTTCGAATTTTGAACCCCTAACTAGAAGACAGACTTCGAGACTTCTACCAAAAAATGTTTAAGTTGTGCAAAACTGTTTGGCGTATTTTATTTGCAGTGGTCATCATACGTCATGAGGCAATAACAGATTAATTATTTTTGCACTACTTATATTACGTTATGCGAAAAGTTGACTTGGTATACGTCCTGTTCGGTATAAATATCCAATCGTTAGGAACGAATTAAGATCCTATGCCAAAACACTACTGCAAATTCAATACGTTATTTTAATTGATACTTAAAATAAATAAGGAATTAATTTGGGTATTTTTGGGTATATCCAATTTTTGAACTTGATTTTAGGTAAACTGGCAAAATAGATTGAGTACTTACTGGGTTCGCTTTATACATGTAGAATTATTGGGATTTCCTCCTTCCACTTCAGCTGTTCCCATTAAAGTTGGTGATAAAGTACGAGTGAAGTCGTCTATTAGTACTCCTCGTTACAAATGGGGATTTGTTAATCATGAAAGTGTCGGAATAGTTAGATGTATGTATCATTCATTAAAGATTAAAAAAAAAAATGAAATTCTCATTCCACATAGTTTTCACAGTTCTTTTTAAAGCAAAGTCAACTAGTTCTATTACTTTATTGAACGCTTTTAAATAAAATATTAATTTTTACAGCAATTGCAACAAATGGTCATGATATTACGGTAGATTTTCCAAAACAGTCAAATTGGACGGGTTTAATGTCGGAAATGGAAGTTGTTCCCAGTAGTCACGAAGGTGTCCTCTGTAGTGGCTGTGGCCAGAATCCTATTAAAGGTGCACGCTTTAAATGTAAAAGTTGCGATCAATTTAACTATTGTGAGAATTGTTTCTATACCAAAAAGAATCATCGTCATTCGTTTAACAGATTCGTAGAACCTGGTATGAGAAAGCGAAATTTGAAATGTATATACACCGACAGTTGCTATTGTGTTTTATATTTTAAGGTTCTCCGGCTGTTTTTGCTGGTAAGCCTGGCAGGTATTTTAAAAACATCGATTCCGACATGGAAGGTCTAATAACTGATTGGAGCCGTTGTGTAAAAAACGTGACTGTATCTTCTAGAGATTTTACCACACATTTTGAAATACCCAATGGTACATGGCAAAGTTGTGGATCACAAGGAAAGGTGTGTAATATTTACCTTTCAACTGAAAAATAATTATATAAATTAAAAAGATAAATAACTATTAGAAATTGTATAATATAGAAATAACTACATATATACAAAACCTTTCTTATGTAAGTGATTTTCAATCAGAGGGTTGTTAATCCGAAGACTGGTTCGACACTAAGCAGAGCTGAAACTCTGTTTTTGAAATTCTTTCATTAATACCAAAAATATAGTTCATAATAAGAAAAAGGAAGGGAAGAATTTTGAATTGGCGTTTTTGATTATAATTTTTTTTATAGCAAATTTCATTCTCTATCAAATTTGATAATTTCTGAGATAAATGAAATTTCAGTTAATGTTATTATTCTCAATATGTATATATTTTAATTTAATTTACTGGAAATTATATCGAGAAAAATTACAATATTTTAACTAAAATTGTAATTAACTCAGAACCTATTAACTTTCATAATTTATTATAAGGATCTTTTTTGTGTAGAATTAAATTTCCTTTAAAAGAAGTTAAAATCACTTTGAACTTTGATGAAGTTTGGCGAGCCTGAAATATCTACTCAATTTTTTTCCCTTTGTATTTCATTAAGAACAATATTTTCGGTTTTAATGAAGAAATCTCAAAAATAGCGGATTTTTAAACCACCCCATTCCTCCTTTCTGCTTTGAAAACTAGAGCATCTCATATATATAATCATTTATCTAGGTTTTTGTTTGCTTCTCTTTACGCATTTTCTATTCATCGTATTCTTATCATCTGTCTGTAACAACACATTTTAAAGCTGTCATATTCAGCTAGAGACAAAGTTAATCTAAATTCTATACAATTTGTTATATACGTCAGATATTTTGAAAATACTAATGAGAACAAGCAATTTAAAAGTGTTTAAGAGTGGTTTGTATCTAGGTTTGAGAAAATTCACACTAAAGTTGTACAGAAATTGAAATGCATGTTCACGAATGAACATGAACATGTTATTTCAAATTTATGTTGGTTATCGCACCAGAGAAGTCAAAAGTTGTTGTATAAATCCAGTTTTGTTAAAATAATTTAGTCATTTTTATTAAACGGATATCGAGTAAGAAGATTTAGATGCAAAACGGAACAGTAACCTAATCTCCTCGTTGTCTATCACAGGTGCTTTTTTAGAGACTACTTAACGTGACTATTTTTAATTTAGGGTAGTTAAACGTAGAAATTAGCATGTGTTCAACTTCAAAAGTTGAATTTTGGCTCAGGGGTTAAATTAGGTTGTGTAGGACATGAAATTAAAGCTCTAATTGAAAAATGTACATTAATTTTTAATACTTAAAACAAAAGAGCTAAAGTTGATGTTTCTTACTTTATCTCTAGCAGCATCGGTTAGAGAGGAATTAAAAAAAAATCATATGTTACATTGAATAAAAATTGCCAGAATTTCATTACGTTAGATAGTTTTTTTGATATTATGCCACATATTGAAACAAAATAACTTGTTGGACTAGTTTAAATAGTTTGACCTTGTCTAATTGAAAATTTTAAAATTTGTATTTAAAATTTAATTATCTTTACTAACTGATCAGCCTAAATACTATTCTGATTAAATAGCGTTCTATATTTGGGTTTGGGTTTCTATAAATGGTTTTTCTTCATCGGTGAGTACACGGTTGAAGTCGTTTGTCCAACGTTAGGGAATGTGATGAGGGTGCAAAATCCTTCCCTTCGGTTATGTGGAATGCATCAAGACCTCAGTCCACGCTACATTTCCTGAGCATATCAGTGCATAAGTTATGACAGTACTGCCTCAAAATCCTATGTATTTTCTTATGAATGTTCATTTTTGTCCTTTGCATTCAACTTTACCATCTTTACGCTTACACTGATGTCACAGCCAGCAGCTGTTGTCAGCCATCTTTGAACCTTCTTAAGAAAATACATGAGATTTTGAGGTCGAATTGTCAAAGCCTAGCTTGTCAACCACAACAGTTGGCGAAATGTTTAATAAAAACGACTTCATCCGCGGACTCACTCGAAGGAGAACCATTAAACTCGAATAAGGTAACGCTGGTAGTGACTGCCTTAGCATTTTCACTCATCATCATCATAAGGTCGTCAGTCCTAACACTGGTTGGACACGTACCTCCACTCTTTCCTATCCTGAGCTAAACCTCGCATTTCCAAAAATCTAGAACAGCCCACATCCTTAACTATTTGCGAATAGTAATCTAAAATTATATTTCAATTGGTTGTAGCATTGGATTCGTTTAGAAATGGCACCGGATATAATTATACGAAGCCTTGTATGTAGCACCGATCCAGCTGATAACAGTTATATGCCTTCGGTGATCGTTGTGAGCGGTGGAAGTACCGTGAATTCTCTTTCTGAATTGAACGTCATCAATGTTAGACCAACGGATACTGCAATCACGTTATTATGCAATATGAATGAGGTAAGTTAAAGTGAACAAATTTAAAATGCATAATTCCACATAAAAACGTTTAAAATACTTAAGGCCCATTAAGAAGCATTCCATATAGTCTATGTTTATTGAGTTGATGTGATTCAGTGTAAATTGTTTGAAATATTAATATTTGAAGTGTTTAAGTATACCTTATGTCTTATTTCTTGAGTGTTCTTTATTTTTTAAAGTGAAACTTATTATATCGTCTCAATTTTTTTCGTCAATCTATCGCGTGTCGCATTACAATCGGCCGCGGAGTAGGGGTAAAACTGAAAGGCGCTCGGCAGAGCAGCCAACGCTAATATGGCGGCGCCCATGGCTCGCATGAGCTAACCGTGTAGCAGTTATATTCTCACTCATTCGTGCAAGTACATGACAATTACATTTTATAGACTGGAAACTCAAAACGAAGATGAAATTATCGATAGAATAACTGAAGTTGAAAATGATTTAAATAAATATTGTTCTCAGTTTTTGACATGCGTCATCATCTGAATAATTGTATTTATTATGTATTCCGTACTCTCATATGCAGATTGAAATTAAAATTTGTAGGTGGATATCTTCTCTACTTTTGATTTCCCATTATCATTCCCATTTTCCAACCATTAAGATAAAATTAAGAACGCGATTTTAATTTTAATACCCTAAATCGAATAATTTTCCGAAAATTTACAGTTAAATGCCTACAATCCGAAAAGTTTCACTTGCATCGTATATTCTTAAAACCACACAATTGTTTTTTTAATTGATCAGAAAGTATGCTATAGTCTTTTCTTGTTTATAAGTCATATGGAAACTGTATTTGATTGATTATATTTGTTACAATGCCAAGGGAGCATTAAGAGAAATAATAATAATAGTGTAATTTAGTTCATGACATTAATGTTAATTTCATTGTTTTCTAGTATTATCCTCTTATTGAAGTAGCGGTTGTTAAATGTCGAAATGGCGGTATAGATTGTAAAATTCATGGGTTGTCAGTAGTTGGTTCTAAAAGGCAGTCTTACGGAGAGATAAAAACATCATCTTCTTTTCTTGCCAATGACTGGGATTTAAATGAAAGCAATTTCAGAACAACATATGTTGGTAAGAAGGTTTAATTTTTTAAGGAAATTAAATTAACAAAATAATATGCTACATTTCGATATTATCCATCTAATGGTTTACTCTGGAAATTTTATAAATAATCCACTTTGAATATGAGATTTTGAAAGGTAAAGATGGTCTTCTAAAAACAATACCCTTCTCTAATTTTTTAATGGTCTGACAAATTGGTAAAGGCTTTCGCGGACAGTTGCTGAACTAATGCTATCTTGATTTGGGTCTAAAGAAGTTTGTTGTTCGTGCTAGCAATTGTAATCTAAGACGCCCTTTAGACCCGAACGAGGACAGCATCAGTTTTTATGGTCTAACAGATGTAGGAATAGTTTTACATAAAAAACTGGCAAATCAATAAACTTTAAATACCACCAAAAAATACATGTTTTTGTAATTTTTAAGAAATTCTTTGATCTTATGGTTTTGGTACAATCACCATTTTCTTATATTCTTCTACCATTATCTGCAAAATGTATATTTCGGTTGTTTGTCAACCTCCCCATTCAAATGAAAATGCGCCTCCTCCGAAAACTAAACGCTGGGAAAAGTGTGCCGGAGGGAAATTGCTAATTTCGGCGTTAGTTTTAAGGAATTTAAAAAATGTCGAAATGGTGCACATATTGAATAAAATGGTGACTTATTTTGTACGCCACCCTGATGTATAATATTTTGAAGTTTCTTCCGAGCATTATGTAAAATTTACTTTTTGCCATTTTTCGGATTTTCGTAAGCGTTTCTTCTGAGGTGACCGTTTTTCCTTTCAGCATTATTATCACCTGAAACATAACAAAACACTTTTTTTCAAAATTGATATTTTGCATTTATAATGTATCAATATTATTGTTCCATGGGTATTGGGTATACATTTTTCACCTATATTTAAAATTGATTAAAAATAATTTATTTAGGCTCAACCGTTTCATCAGTTGTGAAAACAGCAAGCTCAGATGCTTCTGAAGATTTTCAAGTCTACGTGTGGGGTTTAAACGATAAAGATCAACTCGGTGGTATGAAAGGTTCTAAAGTGAAAACTCCGACAAAGTCTGAAATTTTGAGTCAATTGAGACCCATTCATATTGCAGGAGGTTCAAAATCACTTTTTATTGTTTCACAGGATGGAAAGGTATGCCTGGTCTTTTAGATATTTCTTTTTTATAAGTATACACACCAGCAAATTTAATGATTTAGTTCTTAAAACCTTCACCTTCACGGTGCGTGTATATTTTAGAAATGGTGACTATTAATAAATCGTAATTTTGTAGCTTTACGCTTGTGGGGAAGGTTTAAATGGTAAACTAGGCCTTGGACATCATAACAATGTATCATACCCACGTCAGAACTCCTTTTTAAGCCAATATATTATTAAAAAGGTTGCAGTTCATTCGGGTGGAAAACATGCAATGGCATTGACTTCAGACGGGAAAGTGAGTTACAATTTTGACTTTTCTGGTATTACATATTTTGCTGTATATCTAAGTCTGTCGATGGATTATATAGTTAACGGTTTTGTTAGGTATTTTCCTGGGGCGATGGAGAAGACGGAAAACTTGGCCACGGTAATAGATTAAGTTTAGACAAACCAAAGATGATAGAAACGTTAAGGAGTAAGAGAATTCGAGATGTTGCTTGTGGCAGTTCTCATTCGGCGGCCTTAACGAGCAATGGTGAATTGTACACGTGGGGATTAGGGGAGTATGGCCGACTGGGACATGGCGACAATATGACTCAGTTAAAGCCTATGCTGGTAAGGAGACATTAAACAATTTCTTCGGATTAATGTATTTTTTAATTTTTGTAATATTTCGAAATTACAATTATCAAATGAGAGTGTATTTGAGTGTTTCTGTCAACTCATTTCTTTCTTATCGTCTTAAGGTTAAAGCTCTTCTTGGCCACCGAGTAATTCAAATTGCCTGCGGCAGCCGTGATGCTCAAACATTAGCTCTTACTGATGAAGGTCTTGTTTTTTCTTGGGGGGATGGAGATTTTGGGAAGCTGGGTAGGGGTGGTTCAGAAGGCTGTAACATTCCTCATAACATAGAACGTCTGAATTCATTGGGAATAATCCAAGTCGAATGTGGCGCACAATTCTCATTAGCCCTTTCAAAAACGGGAGAGGTTGGTACCGAATGTATCATATGTTTAATACTTTAATCTAAAGTTCGTGTTTGTCCATTAACAGGTGTGGACTTGGGGCAAAGGTGACTATTTTCGATTGGGTCATGGCACCGATCAGCATGTACGAAAACCGACAGTTATAGAAAGTTTAAAAGACAAAAGAGTTATTCAAGTTGCGGTTGGAGCCCTGCATTGTCTCGCTGTGACCGATTCAGGACAAGTAATTTTTTCTAAGAAGATGTTGAAGTGTTATTGTAATTATTCTGTTTCTTATGTTACAATAATAGGTTTATGCTTGGGGTGATAATGACCATGGTCAACAAGGCAACGGTACAACTATAGTTAATCGTAAACCAGCGTTAGTACATGGTCTGGAAGATATTTTTATTAACCATGTGTCTTGTGGTAGTTCACATTCCATAGCCTGGTCGGTGAAGGATAATCCAATTTCTAATAAACACGAACCAGTTATATTTTCGGTAGCAAAGGATCCCCTTGGAGCTAGCACCTTGGGCCTTTATGATGACGAAAAGACGACCAAAGATGACAGAAATAGCAAAAACAATTCTAAATTAAGTACGATTGTAATGAGTTTGGAAAGTAGTACTTCGAAACAACAGGCATTACAACACGTTCTTAACGCAATGCACATTCATCAACTTAGACAGGCAATCGTTAAGGCTCTTTCGAGTCATACTAATGTTCCACAGGAGCTTAAAAATAAGGTATCATCACCCACTAGTCTAGTAAATAAATACGCCCCTTCATTGGTTTACTAAATCCCTGTACAAGACGATGGTCTTCATCGTCTTTCAATTTAATTTATTTTGTCATGAAGAAATTTACTTTCATCACTTTTTTTAATTATAACTAAATTCCACACATAAGTTTGATTTTCCAAATTTTTGACCACCCTAATCTAACCAGTTTTGTTTCAGTTTGCTGTGTTATAAAAATTATCATGCTATTGCGATTGTTTTCATTTGAACATTCAAGTTAAGGGTCCTTAAGGGTATTAAGTTAATTACGACAGAGAAGCTTTTATTTACATTATAATAGCGTAGAATCTTTCAGATTTATATTGAAACACGAAAGATCTTGTTAATAATAGTAGTCGCCAAAACTTGATGTTTTTCCGGAAAACCATGACCGAATTTAAAAAACAAAAAACTTGTTCTAACCTTTTGTGGTAATTGTTCTTTGAGTTTTATTTATTGAAAATTTTGTGTTTTTAGTTGAGCGTATCGAATACTGCTTTTGAAAATTCAAATTCTCAACTAGGACATAATTCAATGAAAGAAATGGAGATTGCATGTGGTGGTGGGGAAGCTCCTGCTTCTTTGTCGGAAGTGGATTTAAATGTAAGTCTATATATTGCGTAAACACGTAGCTGTGTATTTCAGTAATTAAAGTTTAAATTATTTAGATCAGATTGACAAGGGCGTCACTACGACGTACTTACTTACAGATTTCCTGTTTTAAATAACGACCTAAAAGGTCACTGAGTTTAGTAACAAACAAACAATGAACTATTAGATAATTATTTTTTAATTATTAATGTTTTATTTTTATGGTCGTTTTGGAGTCATTTCACTTCACACACGTCACATTACTTATCAATATGTTTACAAATGTCATACTGAGTGTTTATGATGTTTGTTTGTTTATAGTTTAATAACCAATGCTTAGATTTGTACATCGACCTGTTATTATTAGTACATCTACCTACTATTATTACATATTCATTTTTATTCATGTGTATACTTCTGTACTCACTTATGACATCAACTACATATGCATTTATCTTATGTAATTATATATGCCAGATATATTCACTCTCACATTCACGTGACGCGTGACGCTTTTTGGTGTTATACCCTTGTAAATTTCCATCCCTACCGTCCATAAAGAAGTTTCATTTCAAAAATTGGCTTAAACTGTTACATTAACTAATTACTAAGCACCAGAAAAATATAACTTTATTTGGAGCGGATGAGTGTGGAATGTTGGTTTAGTTTTATTAAAAAATTTTACGCTTGTACCATACAAAATTGCAGAGGGGAATTACAAATCAAAACAAACAAACAAACAGAAACACATTTTCGGTTTTATACTGTAGTAAATTTCATTCCTACCGTCCATAAAGACGTTTCACTAATAACCCAGTTAGTAAGGCAATATCAAAATTTTAGTAGGTCATTGTATACACCCCAGGAAATGGAATTATCATCGTAATGGTTCCTTTTTTACCGTTGTAGGGCAGAGATTAAAGAAGACTCATAATATTTCTTAGGAGCTTTTAATGTATATCCTTCATGGAATTGTTGATATGGAGTTAATTATGTATAATTTTTGTAGTATTACATTACAATTTAATTATTAATTAATTATTTAAATCTTCAGAATCATCCAACAACTCCAGAGACTGACGAAAATGCAGTTGCTCTTCTTCAATCGATGACAAGTAGCTGTTCTGCAAGCATTTCATCAAAACATTCTAGAATGTCAACTAGTGCCATGTCTGTAATTGCAGCTACGTTAACATCCCACACGGAGGTATATACATAGTAATACAAATTCTAATTTATAAATAATTTTTATCAATGGTGCAACAGGTTATTGGAGAAGGTGATGTATCCGGACTTGACGAATTTACAACCCTTCTTACCGAAAACGATGCTCGTCTTCTGGTTGATATGTTAAAGCTGGCGGTAACAGATAGGATTGAAGATACACAGGCAAAAGAAATAATTTCATCAGTATTAACCAGTAAGGAAATGAATCTCAAATTTGCAACTATTTATTATGTTCAATTATTATTAGCGATCGGCCATTTTCTCAGTCATCATTCTGTCAATTTTATTTTAGATATGGGCAGCAATAACAAAACTATTGGTTTGATGTTACTTGAAATTTGTGTGACTGAGCTAGAAGATACGGCAAGTAATACTCAAACATTGTCATTGGTTCCTCATCCTGTTGTACAAGAATCAAGCCATCCGTATGTTGATGATGTTACATTGAGAGGACATGTGCGCTTACCCGGTGCTGACGCTCTAAGAATAGAGTTTGACAGAAGATGCTCAACAGAAAGAAGGCACGATCCGTTGCAAATAACTGACGAAACAGGGAGGGTCGTTGCTACTAGATCAGGAAGGGAGTGGAGTGATTGGTCCGCCGAACTGAGAATTCCTGGTAATTTTTATCTTTTTATGTACTGACCATAAAACAGCTTACATTTTATTGATATTGTAAAGCGTTATTCTTACTAGTTTCATCATCACAAGGTCATCAGTCCAAACACTGGTTGGGCGCGCACCTCCATTTATCCCTATCCTGAGGCAATCTTCGCATTTCCCGAAAACTAGAGCATCTCTCATCCGTAACTATTTGCGAACCGTAATCTAATCTAGGTCTTCCTCTAGCCACATTACTCTTGTTTCTGCTTCTAATGTGTATCTAACTAGGCCTACATACCTCAGAAGGTGTTCTAAAACATTATCCTTCTTTTTCTTTATTGACTTCCGCAATGCTTTCTGCTCTCCTACTTTTTTCAAAGGTCTCCTTATTTCTTCCCCTTCTCCATCCACGCTACATTTATTACCCGCCTATAACACCGCTTTTCAAATGTTTCTAACTTTGTCTCCTCTCGTGTCTAAACGGTCTACATTTCTCATCGATACATTATTAAACATATACTTTTAGTTATTTTTTCGTTAAAAGTAATTCGACACTGTATCCCTACTGCTTTATCCATTCTGAATTATCTGACTTCCTACATATCGAAAACAGGTACTGTAAAGCTGTAATTTTTACTAGTTATCATCATCAACACAAGATGTCTGGTGTAGGACTCCATACGAGTGCCTAATGGGGACGACGTAAAAGGAAAAAATTGAGGAGGGAGAGAAAAAGATGAGGTATTGGAAAGTGTAGGAGATAGTAGAATCAAAAGTGCTATTGAAGTCATTAAGAAAAACGAGAGATAGGCTGCAGTCTAAAAGGGCTAGTTGCAGACATTAGAAAAAGAAACGAGAGGCAAAGGAGGAGGATTAGAAAACTATTTACAATTATTCATTGAGATGTGGGATGCTTTAGTTTTCGCGAAATGTTAATTTTTAATTAATTATAAATATTTCTTTCATTTATATGTACCGGATGCTATGGCGTCGAACGTCGCTTGGCACAAGCTATCCAATTATTTAATACTACTTTGTAGTAGGTGTAAAAAGTTATATTGAACAATATGAAGGGCAGAGTAGAGTTTTTGTTGATTTTAAAGTATTGTTTCTTAAAAATGCATTGGATATTCAATTTTTAAGGTGGTGTGGAGGAGATATAGATATTATTGTTATAATTGCGATTAAATTGCCCGCTGCATGGGTAGATTATGAACGGATATCACCTATTAAAAAATAAATTGTAGTTTATAAGTTACAAAATTGATCCTGACGATAAGTTTTCGAGAACTTAAAAACAAAACCTTTGAGTTCCACGTAATATACTTTGCTAATGCATATACGCGTATTTAAGGAGTTGTCTCAATATTTTTTTTTATTCAATGTTTTAATACTAGGTAATTATACTGTGTAATAAATATAAGTAAGCAATACGTATATCTGGAGAAGTTGAATTAAAAACATTTTTGTTTGTTTTAAGGTGATGAATTACATTGGTCTTTTACTAGTGACAGTTCCGTGAATGGATGGGGATGGCGGTTTACAGTTTACCCGGTGATTTCAATTCAAAATACAAAAGAATTGGGTTCGGATAAAACTGTCCTAAGTCAGCCATCTATCGATATGGTCATGTCATTACTGGATAATAGACTTTATGTTTGTGCTGATAACCATTTGATGGCTAGATTAGCTGCTGCTTTGGCGGAGTGTTCTCAGTTAAGTTTCCTTTGTAAGTATGATTAAAGTATAATTAAAACCTTTCTGTGGTTCATACAATTAAACATAAAATTAAAAGAAAATTGAAATTTAACTTTTTTAATAAATTTAAAGTATTTGTAGATTTCAATTTTGCTTTTTTGACATCTAATATCGGTTGCGAAAGTCTACGGGAACTATATTTTATATAAAGTATACTAAAAGACATAATTTCCACAATGCAACACCTATATAGTTAAGAAGATCAAAATTGGCAAAGTCTGCAATAAATTATCTGTGAGAATGGGCGTATCTTCTTTCTTGTTTCCACTTAGGACTGAAGTCATTTTTTGCGTTTTGAACACGCCCTTGTTAAGTTAGGAAATGCTTCATGACTAATAAAGACAAAGTGAAAAAAGATAACCGAATAATAGCAAGCGGTGCTGCGGTTAGAAGTTGCTTAGGTACGCAAAAGATCAGGATCGGCTTTATAACTGTGTGGTTCGAATTATATCTTTAAACAAGCGTCTTTACTTTCCTGAGAATGTTGATTTTCTTTAAAGTGCGATACTGGGAACATGCTGAAATTCTGCTTGTCTATATCTCTTTCTGTTACATATTAATTGGTGCAATGTTAGCCCTTTTTCTTTATTAGTGTCTTCTGCAATGTCTACTTGACATTTCTTTTCTATGTTTACGATATTCCCTACCCACAACGTCTGTCTTGATTAAATGTAAGCGTTCGGTCAGCAACCTCTCTAGTCTAGTTAGTATATTGAAAAAAGAAAGTAAATGCGACAGTTTTATTGTGGATTATGCCAATTTTGAATGTCCCAACTATAATAACTTTGTTATATATATATTATTATTCAACAGCGCCAAGTCAAAGAATGTGGGCTTTAAAAAAGTTGCATGATATTCTTGTTCCTCAAAACGCCGATGAAAACGCCATCGGGCATCAACTTCGACAGCTGAAAGCTCCTGATGGTGCTCTCGGTTCTCTTCTTGAAGAACTTCCACAAGCTCTTTTGCAGCAGTACACATATGAAGATACATCAGTGAGAGCGGGTCTTCATCTTATGCATTCTGATTTCTTTAAGGTTTTCATGTTAAAATATTCTCATGGTGCTTTCTACTTTAAAACGTGCTTGTACAGGTTTTGGTAGCTCTGGCTTGTGATTTGGAACTTGATAAGATGTCAGGAATAGTAGACAGTTATAGATGGTCGTGGTTTCGAAGATATTGTAACGCAGCTCGTATAGCAAAAGCTCTTATAAGTAGAACCTCCTTTCCATCAAATTTTTGCCATGAAATTCGTAAAAAATTAGCTGACTTACCGGCTGAGAATGAAGAACAAATGTGGGATTATGAGAATCACAACATATTTAAAAAGGAGCATGATAAGCAACTGCTAATATGGTTGAACAGGTAAAGAAGTTGTTCTAAGTACAGTTTTTGTTTCAATCATATTTTGGTAATGATTTAAAGACGGCCTGAAGACTGGACCCTGTCGTGGGGAGGCTCAGGTACTATCTACGGATGGGGTCACAACCACAGAGGCCAGTTGGGAGGTATTGAAGGCGCTAAAGTTAAAATTCCTACTCCTAGTGAAGCCTTGTCGAGCCTTCGACCTGTTCAAGTAGTGGGAGGTGAACAGACTTTGATTGCTGTCACTACTGATGGAAAAGTTTATGCTACAGGTAGTAATTCCTAGAGGTTGTTTCGAGTTTAAAAACCTTATGAAACAATAAATAATTGTAGGCTACGGAGCAGGAGGTCGTTTGGGCATAGGTGGTACCGATTCAGTTTTGGTTCCGACTTTAATAGAATCTATTCAACATATTTTTATCAAAAAGGTTGCTGTTAATTCCGGCGGAAAACATTGCTTAGCTTTGACGGCCGATAATGAGGTATATTCATGGGGAGAAGGCGACGATGGAAAATTAGGCCATGGGAATAGAAAGTAAGTAACCGTCATGTATTTTTGAATATTTTTAGGGCTCTGTATCTCCAACTGAAAAAAATGGAGCCCTTGTAGTTTATTCGATCACTTTGTTGTCCAACCATCTGTTTGTGTTAAAAATATAACGGATTATCAAAACCCGTAGTCATAGGTACCTTATAGTACAATTAATTGCAATAAAAATTTAACAAAAATGGATCAAAAAAGTATTTATCAATAAATTAATAAAGTTATAAATATTTAAAAATAAATTAATCAAAAGTTATACAAATTTAACAAAGTATGCAAATTAAAAAAGTAATAAAAATTTAGCAATAAATGAATTCAAAAATAACACAATAAAAATGTGACAATAAATGAATCAGAAAAGTAATAACAACAACAGTTGTTAAAACCAATCTCTTCTCACATTTATTTTATTTTAAGAGTGATGAACTTTTAAATTATATAATGTAGCCCTCATTCGCACCGTGGTGCGAAATCTATTTACTATTTTTGTGGACATGTACGTAAATTGTTACTAGGAGTACAAATATACATATTTCTTTTTTCATAATTTTAAATAGCATATTTAAAAAGGCATTCAGAAGAAATATACACTGTTTTTTATAAAAATATGTAAATTATATGAAATTTAAAATTTTTACAACCTTATTTTACAGTGCATGTGAAAGACCTAAACTTATTGAAGCGCTACAAGGTTATGAAATAATTGAAATTGCTTGTGGTGGTGCTCATTCGGCTGCGATAACGAGTTCAGGTCAGTTGTTTACTTGGGGCAAAGGAAGATATGGTCGTTTAGGACATGGTGATAGCGAAGACAGATTGAAGCCAAAATTGGTGAATATTAAATTTTATTATTTGTTAGTAAGCGTGAAATACCTATGTTTTATTACAACATATCAGCTAACAAAAACAATAGTTAATTATATACTGTTTAGAAACATTTTATAATTGCAATTAAGTTGTCATTAACTTTAACTAGAATTTACTCAAAACATTATTTTAGACATGCGGGCAGTACCATGATGAGCTGTTTTTGTTATGGTGAAACCCTTTTATTTTTCATCTGATGTTGAATATTAAGCGTTTTGTGTATTTTGATTCATTGTTTTAACAGCTTTACTAAATCAAGTTTTGGATGTGTGTCTCTTACAATTAGTTATTTCTGAAATGTGAAAAGTTACTTTTTTAGAAAAATGTAAAAATTAGCAATGAATCAAAATCAAAACGCTAAATATTAAAAATCCAATGGAAAATAAATGATTCATCATTTTAAATGTGTGATTTCTTAAGGTTTTTATTTTCGGATTTTTAATATGTACTGCCTTTTTTGTTTTATTGCTAATCTTGTAAAATATATATGAAACATTTTGACATTTAATAGTGGTTAATATCAAATATTAACGTGAAAATTCATTTTCAATTTTTTACTCACTCCTTGTCCCTCGCAGGGAGTGACAACAGCAACAAATTTTTCCTCATTAACTTAGGTAGTTTATAGTGGGTAAAAAATTGAAAATGAATTTTCACATTAATATTTAATTTTGTAAAAGCTTCACCAAGTCAAAATTTGCAAATAAAGTAAAAAAAGTCTATGATAGAAATTAAAAGAGAAATTCAAATATTTTTTAAATGTATAATAAATTTTAAAAAGCATTTGAAACCCTCCAGTAAATAATAAATTCTAATCGAAAAAAATCTGTGTTCATAACTTCTCTTGAGCATTACACGTGCACTACTGGTGTGTGGTGCATTGGGTAGGTCTTCCAGGTAATTCATGTATAAATCAATTTTGATAGAAGTTGGTAAATATGTGTGGGACGATATGGACGATCAAGGTATCCATATCTGTCTTTTTCACTGCTATACGTTTACAGAAATTTAAAATGGTTCCAAAAAAATTGACAAGTCTATTTAAACGGGCGACATAGTCAGTTGTGTGAGATAAAGGGATTGGCAGTTATAAGCATCTTCTAGTATTTTCATTATTTACTTAAAAGTGAATAAACTTCACCATCAATAGAGCAAATGGTAATTTGAGTCATTAATTCTAGGTTGAAGAACTTTTAGGGTACAGGGTAATTGATGTTGCTTGTGGTTCTGGAGACGCTCAGACCCTTTGTGTGACAGACGATGATAATGTATGGTCATGGGGCGATGGTGATTATGGCAAACTTGGTTAGAATTTATTCACGGTATAAATATGTAATGTGATTTTATATGGTCTTATTTTAGGTAGGGGAGGATCCGACGGATGTAAAGTACCAATGAAGATACCAAGTTTAGTAGGACTTGGAGTCGTCAAAGTTGAATGTGGATCGCAGTTTTCAGTGGCGTTGACAAGATCAGGAAGCATTTATACGTGGTAAATTTAGCGTTAGAAATATCAATAACTTATAATCTCAATTCTGTTGTGGTGTGTATAAACTTTTTTGTGTAACATCGTTGTTATTTCAGGGGCAAAGGTGATTACCATCGTTTGGGACATGGAACCGATGATCACGTTCGGTTTCCAAAACAAGTATCGTCTCTACAGGGAATAAGAATAATAAATATTGCCACAGGATCATTGCACTGTGTTGCTTGTTCTGATGAGGGTGAAGTGTACACTTGGGGTGATAACGACGAAGGGCAGCTTGGAGATGGGAGTACGAATGCCATACATCGACCACGTTTGGTCAGCGTTCTTAAGGTATCTTATATCTTCAAATTTTAATAGAAATAAAGAACGTAGCTTATTCCAAGAACCTTATATCTCCAGTAATGTTAAGTTTTCAAAATTAAGAAAACAACGTGTAGTTATATAACACGCTACTGAAGTGAAACTTCTTCAAACATGCCGGGATAGGGGTTAAGGAATTGGTTTAATGGTATTATTTGTACATTATGAATTTNTACTAGTGGAGACTTAAAAATCAAACGTAGGTATATTCTATTATATGCAATCGCCAAAAGCAGGGTCAGTTTTTGAAAAATACCACGTGGTATATGAAACTCCGTACAAATACGTTCAGGTATCATTAATAAAGTAATATAAACCCAATAAATGCAATTTAAGACTTTCGTGGATGAGAAAACATAATCCACACGTTTATTAAATTATACATCAGTTTGTCTAATCGTAAGTTATATAATGGTTAGATAATGATATCCAGATTAAATACCTTGTACTATATACTTGATCTGGGAATAGTATAAAATTCGATTATTTCCTGAAAAAAAAAACTATTTAATACTATGGATAACTATTACTATGACCTACTTATTATTCTTGACTATTTTGTCTTAATAGTGGTTTAATTTTAGGCTTCATGAATTCGATGAGCAAGTTAAAGCAGTTCGCGATGGCATGTCTCGAGTAATTCCCGTTCCACTGCTTTCTCTATTCAGCGCATTTGAGTTGGAAACAATGGTCGTTTATTATACTATATATTAATAGGGAAAGAAGATAACGAACGTTGCATGTGGTTCTGCACACACGTTGGCATGGTCAACAAACAGTTCTAACATATCTGCCCATCTTCCAACGCAAGCGCCTCTTGAGTATGATCTTTTAAAGGATATTCCAATATGGGTACTACACAGACGATTGGTCCTTCTACATCACTTTGCAGGATTAATTTGTCCATGCATCACAATGTTTCCTCTCATTGGACCGTGTTCACTGTCAGAATTGAGGGATATTTTAGTGTACAGTATTAAGGAAGCTACATTTAAAAAGGTAAATGTAGTTATTTTACACATTGTGAAATGTGTGGAAATATCTTAAAAGATGAGATATGCTGCACAATGTTGACAATTAGTTTAAATAATTAATAAACAGAAAATATTACACACATTTACTATAAAAATTGAAATTCGAAACCCGTGCTGAAAGACAAGCTTCCAAACGTCTACCTGAATTATTGTCGGTTTCTAACCTATGACAGTGATACACTGGCTTACCGCCAATTCGACTGAATACACACGTCAGGTCATCTTAGACAAACATTTACTTAACTGTATGCTATAACGTGCCATATTAAGTCCTGACTAACTGTGAACATAATTGATATTTATTTATAAAAGGTTATTCAAGCAACGATGGTTCGTGATAAACAACATGGTCCCATTATAGAACTCAATCGCATTCAAGTGAAGCGTTCTCGCTCCCGAGGAGGATTAGCCGGGATCGATGGAATGAAGTCTGTGTTTGGACAGATGGTATCTAAATTACCATTACTTACCACAGAAGCTCTTTCTTTGCCTCATAGAGTTTGGAAAGTTAAATTTGTCGGTTAGTGTTTTTCACGTTTATTTTTATTCAAATTTATTGTACTTGATTATCTTTTTTTTTCTTGAAGGAGAAAGTGTGGACGATTGCGGAGGTGGATACAGCGAAAGTATCGCTGAAATGTGTGATGAGTTGCAAAACGGTTCGCTTCCTTTGTTTATTCCTACTCCAAATGGTAGAGACGAATCCGGGACAAATAGAGATTGCTTCTTGTTGAACCCTTCTTCTAAATCTTGTTTGCATTTGAATATGTTCCGATTTTTAGGTACATTTTAAAAGAAAATAATACATAATTTCAAAAATAATTTATAATAAATAATCTGCGATTGTTTAAAGGGGTATTAATGGGAATAGCAATTCGTACCGGATCTCCGTTAAGTTTAAGTCTGGCAGAGCCCGTTTGGAAGCAGTTGGCAGGCATGGAGCTTACACCGGGCGACTTAACTGAAGTGGATCGGGATTATGTGCCGGGCTTGTTGTGTATCAGAGATATGGGACCTGATGAGAGAATGTTCCAGAATTTGGAAATGCCGTTTAGTACTCCATCATCAAGTGGAGTTGATGTTCCACTAAGTACTAGATACAAAAGAATAACATATGAAAATCGCTTGGAGTATGTGAAGTTGGCATTAAATTTTAGGTACGTATTCAGGCTCATAAGTAATAGTAATATACCTGCCATATGGAAACATACCTGCTCTGTGAGTCATGTCAAACATGCAACGATATACGTTTTTCGATATTTTTTTGAAGTGAAAACTTCTTTAGCGACGTTGGGCACTTTTTGGTAGGGTAAAATGTTATGGGTTCGCGTCACCGACATGCTCATGACTGGCGCACGCGCAGCGGTTGTGTGCTGTGGGCGTTAGACGCTTTTTGGATGGTTGAAATCTCGTGCATTCGCGTCACCGACATGCTTGTAGCAGTATATCTGTAGCTATACAGCTACGACGATCGATGCGGTTTTTACGCGATACTTAGATAAATTTCAATCAAACGTTTTCATTTCTTACTTTAGTTACCATAAGCCTATTGTATCTTTTTTAGAACACAATGAAATAATTGAAAGTACAAAAAGTCTAAGTATTGTTGAAATTAATGATGACAATGATGCAAACAATGTTAAAAATCAAGTACATTGAAATTTATGTAAATATTTGAATAATAAAAAACCATATAAACATGCATATAATTGTTGCTCGGAGTGTCAATAGATGTGAAAACCAGATTGATGTTGATAATTTTTATTCAAACATTGTGAAATTTCAAATTTTAATACTAAAAGTTCTAAGTTTTCACTTCTATCGGCAGTCCCTATAACTGCCAATTTTTTGTACATATACTAGTGGAGACTTAAAAATCAAACGTAGGTATATTCTATTATATGCAATCGCCAAAAGCAGGGTCAGTTTTTGAAAAATACCACGTGGTATATGAAACTCCGTACAAATACGTTCAGGTATCATTAATAAAGTAATATAAACCCAATAAATGCAATTTAAGACTTTCGTGGATGAGAAAACATAATCCACACGTTTATTAAATTATACATCAGTTTGTCTAATCGTAAGTTATATAATGGTTAGATAATGATATCCAGATTAAATACCTTGTACTATATACTTGATCTGGGAATAGTATAAAATTCGATTATTTCCTGAAAAAAAAAAACTATTTAATACTATGGATAACTATTACTATGACCTACTTATTATTCTTGACTATTTTGTCTTAATAGTGGTTTAATTTTAGGCTTCATGAATTCGATGAGCAAGTTAAAGCAGTTCGCGATGGCATGTCTCGAGTAATTCCCGTTCCACTGCTTTCTCTATTCAGCGCATTTGAGTTGGAAACAATGGTCTGTGGATCTCCTGATATTCAACTCTCCTTGTTAAAATCTGTTGCTACATATAAAGGTAATATATTAATAGTTTAATATTTTTTTGATAGTACATAATAAGCGTCACATGTTGAATCTCTATTTAAAATACTTGGTATTAGTAAAAACAAGTAACGTTTCAAAAACTAATTTCAACAAAAATAAAATGAATGTAAATATGGCACAAAAACAGCTTTTGAAACCTTCGTTTTTATTAATAATAAGTAGAAAAACGTTTAAAAGTATAATATATGCACATGAAACTACATATTTTCTTATAAAACGCTGGTGTGTAGGTGTTGATGGTAGTGCTCCTTTAATACACTGGTTTTGGGATGTTATGGAAGAGTTTTCAAACCAAGAGCGATCATTGTTTCTGCGATTCGTATGGGGACGAACCAGACTTCCTAGGACTATAGCAGACTTTAGAGGGCGTGACTTTGTAATTCAAGTCCTTGATAAATATAATCCACCTGATTATTTCTTACCCGAGAGTTATACTTGTTTCTTTTTACTTAAAATGCCAAGATATTCGTGCAAGGTGAGTATTTCAATGAGTAGTCCAGAATTGCTAAATACTAAATGTTATATGTGCACTACTTTCGAAAATGAAGTAATCTGATAATAACGCAAAATAAGCGAACAACAAGTTCTTAATTAAAAGTAAATTTAATCCTTAACTTGTGCCGATTTTGATAATAAAAGTTACTGGACTAACTTAAGTTTTAGTATTAGGCTCAATCGATTACTCTGCAAAATGTTTCGTGACATATTTTTATTACCACAGCTAATTTAAAAAATCGCAACATAGAATTTATAAGAAAGCATTGAGTTTTGTATTCGTTACTGATGCGATACGAACTTTGTATTGTGAATTTGAAGTCACAAAACATTCTGATGTATTGAGCAAATGGGAAATTAACGAATTCACGTACCGTTGGGTTTCGTGTTGATAATAAATTTTGAACGTGTTAAGGCACCACATTCTTTAGGATCGTGTTTGACCTGAAGTTCAAAAATTGAAAATTAAATTTCTTACAACGGAGACTAGTAAAATTTCGTAATAATTACAATGTTGATGCAGTTTTATAAATAGTAAAATATAGTATATTCCGTACCAAGGAAAGAAAGTGGACTATTACAGACCATGTGTGAATTGCCACCCGAGCCGAAGGCCACAATGCGCTTGTCATCCATCAGGGTTTTCTGATATACTCCAAACTTACATTTTTATTTTTACATGAAAAACAGCTTTTATCTATTATGTCATACCTAAAAATTATAATTTCTGGTAAGCTTCAAAATTATGTCACGTTTGACAACATTGCTTAGACGATCGCGGTTCTGTTAAAACACATGCTGAAGTATCGCGCGCATGCTCATACATGTACTCACGCAAAAAAAAGAGTTACTTTCGGTCTTGTATAGAGGATGGAAAAGTCAAACTTTTACGGGGGTGTGACAAAAACAAAGTAAATTTCTAAGTAAAAGGTTTTGTTTATTTTCAGCACGTCCTTCGAGAAAAATTGAAGTACGCCATTCACTTCTGCAAATCAATAGATACGGATGAATATGCTCGTGTAGCAATGGCAAGTGATGTAGCTGTAAGTTCCAGCTCCGATGCAGAAAGTGATGCGGAAATCGACAGCATTGCTGGTCATGAGACGTTGTAATTGATTTGTTTCACATAATTTTACAATAATTAGTTCATTTATTTTATTCGCATTTTTTACGTTTAACGCTGCTAGTTATTGTAATTCGTAGCGCTTTGTCAGTATTAATTTATTATTATTAGTTATTGCAACAATTTAACCACTCATTAGAATATTATACTATGTACCGCATTTGTATCAAACTAGTCAATCAATGTTCTACGAATTAAAACGTACTGCGGCAAATATATTCCTACATAATATATTTTATTTGTGTTTGTGTTAATAAAACTCACTATTAAGGATACATCCACTAGTAACAGCAATTAAAAAAGGCTCAAGTGGAACCAATAAAAACATTCTATGTAGATTACTAAAGTCCTTATAAATCTTACTTAATTATCATACTCTCATTATCATATTACACCTTTAAAAATTTTTTGAATTTCTAAATTAACCGTTCGCTCGCATAGAAGTGACAGAAACAGAGACGGGAGTGAAGAGAAGTAGAGACATTTTTTCATGAGATTCAAGGTTGGGATGGATCGGTGAACCAGCCACCAGAATAGGTAAAAATTACTCAAACCTGGTAAATATTTTTTTACAATATTGAGCCGGGGACATTGTTCCTCTTGTTTTTTATTCTGTTCATTTTTTGTATGATAAATTTATCAACTCTTTTTCTTATTTGCTACTTTTGCTCTGCAAAACTGAACTTACTCCGTATGAAGTTACCATTACAATGTCCAGATCATTGAAAAGGAAAGGTAACAATGTTTAAGTGAAATGGTCTTGAGCAAAAATGTGTTACGCCCTTTACCTTAACAAATGTATAAGAGAAGGGCTTAACTACTAATAATACCTAGCTTATGTCTTAAATTAAGATTATAGAGAATAGAATAATAATTCAACTCATTTCAAGCGGTTAGAGATGTGACCTTGAGGAAATTGCACCAAAAGATAAAATATGATTGAATTAGGGCACATCCAGGTAAGGGGAGAGGCATAACTCCAACTATTTGAAATGAGTTGTATTGATCTCACTCTTTCTGCTCAGCTACATGGTGCAGTGGTTAGCACTTTGCTGTTAAAGCTGCTCAAATACCAGAGCTGGCTAACTCATTTACTATATGTATCGGGTTCGAGAAAGGAAGATACGGACACTGTAGTTAGGTCGGGGTTGTACGACTGACTAACCATAAGGCCGAGCGCGCACTAACCAGGCTTTTGGTCATGAGCTTCCATTGGCTGGTTGATGGCGTGGCGCTCGATCAATGGCCGTCACTTCCGGTACACTATATTACGGTTATTAGGGTTAGGGTTGACTTCAGATTCCAGCGTGAAAGGGGAAGGGAGATAGAGTCAGAAACCTACGCAACAGGGATAAGGAAACTATGTACCAAGGGCTTAGGTTAGCTTGCCGTATGATTGTTTCTTCTTTCGTCTACTAAAGCAACCTCTTACTGAAATGCTTCAAGACAACTTTTTGTGGCTTTTGAATCCTTTATTTCTAGCCATAGGCACAAATGGCATCTGGTTTGTGGGTGTGCTTCATCAATATGTTGTTTGCGTGATAACTAGCCTGGTATTAAATAAATAACATTATGACAGTAATAGAATAAAATACACCGTAAAAATATTGTTATGAACAACTACATAGGTTCATAGGTATATGGTAAATATGATATGCAAATAAACTATTTTAAATAAAAATAAAGCAAACAAGCAAATAAATCATTTATTTAAGTTACTAATTCTGTTTTTGTGGGTGCTACAGTTGCGACATTTAGAACAATTGNTTATTGCTAAAAGATTGGCAATTCCGATGGAAATCGATTAGATTTAATATCATATCAACAATAATAACTTCGTAAATGGAGTTTACATAGTCGTCAAGAGTGTTTGTGAAAATACTAAAACGGCCACTTTTAAAGTATACTTTGCAAGTTGCTCTTGTCTTATGTAACGTTCAAACAAAATTTCTCTCTATTTTTGAATTTAATAACGTTGAGTTGTTAATTAATTCTGTTTTGATAGTAGGTAGATAATATGGATTCATATAATAATAACATCGCCTTCTTTCACTACCGCTTAACGATAAAAAATTAGCAACGTACCATATATGTAGCAATTTACATTTATAAGTAATTAACTGGATTTTATAGAGAAACAATTTTAAATAAATGTTCGAAAGTGCTACCTACCTAACACCACCTACGTCCACTCTTTAGAGAATTTCGGAATGTAAAATCGGGTATATGTACGTATGTATGTACGTACTGAAGGGTTATTTGTATAAAAAAAAACCGCGATGTTGCCGCAGGACTTTTATAATAATGCGTACGATTTAAATCCAGATCATTGTAAAAACATTTATTTTGTAGATTTTCCATAAAATTCAACAGTAGGTGTACCATATGAAGCCTGATACATTTTGCTCATCTTGCATCAATTAAATCTATTTTTCCAATTTATAAAAAACTTCTTCGAATATTTACTGAACTAATAACTTTGGCCCTCATAATAATTGTGTAACCCTAAGACCATTTGTCGATTAAAAATCTCAAAACTCCTACGGTTAAAAAATCAGGTAGCTTCCAGGTAACATTAATGTTTCCTGAAAGATTAATCATATTCTCTTAAGTTTCATGAAATGAGAGTGACTGTATTAATTTCAACGCCTGACCTATGATCTGCACTGGTTTGTGATCTGCAAGATTATGAATGGTTGTACTAATCGGGTATGTATAATACGTGTGCAAATGATGTAGTATATGTGGTAGAAATAGATACACTTTTAGTCAATGTCGTCTTCAAGGGGACTAGAGGGGCTGTAATTCCATACTTTATACTGCATGATCAGAATCATCACATATTAAAAGGTCTATTATTGTTCTTTAATCCTTATTTACATTGTCTTTGTTATTATTTATAATACCATGTACAGAGTTTTTGTTCTAATGTAAGTTTGGGTGGACTAAATGTCGTTTTTATGTAGTTTTATATAGTTTAGGTGGTTTTAGGACTATTGTAGCAAAACTGTATTTATGTTATTATAAAATAAAAACCTTTTTTTTTTATAAAATGTTTTCCTAAAAATAAAAACCATAAATATCTGTTCTATGATTTTATATTCATTGCGTCTGAGGATTTATATCGGTGTAGATGAGTTTCTAGTTTAGAAGTGGTGAAGGGGACACAGAATTTGACATAAAAATGACCCAAATGTCCCCCGGACCACTCTCAAATGAAGGTGACACAATATAATAAAAAATATATTTTTGCCTTAAATACATTGATTTAAGTGTATATTCATTATTCATGTATAAAGAAAATACGTTTTGGTATTATTTATATTAATACAAATCTGGGACCTGGTACGGTTGTCCAAAGCAAGAAAAAGTTGATTTACCCTCAAATACCAGTGTTGGCTGACTCATATTAGGGTTAGGGTTAACTTCAGTTTCCTGCAGCGTGAGAGGGGAGGAGGAGATTGGATAAGAATGGTTTCTGTGATTGGCAAAGTAATGTAGGTCCTACCTATGCATCATTGATAAGTAAACTATGTACCAAGGGCTTAGGTTAGCTTACCGTATGATTTTCTCTTCTTTCGTCTACTAAAGCAACCTGTCACTGAAATGTCTCAAGACAACTTTTTGTGGCTTTTATGTCTAGCCTGGCATCTGATTTGTGGGTGTGCTTCATCAATATGTGGTTTTGCGTGTTAACTAGCCTGCTTTTAAATAAATAACATTACCGCAGTAACAGAATAAAATATATAAAGGGACCGTAAAAATATTGTTATGAATAACTACATAAGTTCATAGGTATACGGTGGATATGATATTCAAATAAAATATTTTAAATAAAAATAAAGCAAACAAGTAAATAAATCATTTATTTAAGTTATTAATTCTGTTTTTGTGGGTGTCATAGTTGCACATGTAAATGGCGACATATAATTGCACTACTGATAAATATAAAAGATTGATTAAAGAAATTTTGCATATGGTTTGCTATATATAGATTGATAAAAAACGTTTTATTTGGAAACATTTATTATGGGAAATGTTTTTATTAATTTAAATTCTCAGTACCCATAGGTACTATACATATATCTAGTTTATTTTTATTTTTTGAT